ACAATGACAAAAACAACAAAAATAAGGATACTAGTCTGAAATTACCAACTTCTCTCAGAAGTTCTGGTTCCTTCACTGCTTATGTCTTAAAATTGTCATAAAAAGGTTTTCTCTCTCACATATATTTGTTTAAATGTTATTTTTAATGGATACACATATTTGAGTAGATGCTCTGTATGTATGTTTATTTACATCAGCTGAGCTGAATATTCAAGAAATCTTGTTAGAAAAATGTGCACCCTGGCAATTTTTTTTTTTTTTTTTTTTTTTTTTAAATAAAAACAGTCTTCATTTTTTATGAATAATATAAAAATCACAAGGAAAAAGAATAAATTTTTCATCCAGTTTGTGTTGTTGCTTAAAATATCAATAAAAAGAAGTCAATTTACCAATTTCGTAGAAGGCTTTCTTTTCAATGTTAGCAGCTTCTCCTTTGTCAAAGAGTAAAGACACTTTCTTTTTTTGGTCATATGACTGGATAACTTTAGTCTGAGGAAGCCGAAGTCTCTCAAGTTGTCGCTGTAAGGATGTCATTGTGCTGTAAAAGAAATAAAAAAGCCTTTGAGGATTACTTTAATGCTTTTCTTGTAATTAATGTATAAAGTGTTCTGGTCCACACATTGATAGCTTTATTTTTCTTCTCATCAGCCCAAGTATATCTAATACTAGCAGTAGAGCCCGGCGTTGCCCGGGGATGTAACAGTAAGAGATAGATCAAGTATCGACCATCATAAAGACTGAAAAATAAAATTGACAAAGATTATTGTTTAAGGTTGATGGACATGCATGTCTTAATTAGTTTTTTTTTTTTTTACGAATTGGTCAAACCCAAATTCAAACAAAAACATTTATTATAAACAATTGTCTTGTAAATGGAATTTTTAAAGCATTCTGAATGTAAAAATAAAGAAAAAAATGTGCAAGACAATAAGAAACACTACCTGCCAAAAAAAAGTGAAGTTTTGTTGAAATTGGTTGAAAAATGTAGGTAGCCTTTCTCTGTAATCTTTTACAATTTATGATTTTTTTACTTATTGAATACAGTAAAAAAAAATTGCATATTTCGCTTGTGGTGATTCATAATTAGAATTCTGATTTAAATATATTTTCCACTCGTTTCTAATACAAAAAATATTAACTTTATTTGGGTTTATTAATTTATTACAAGTACTGTGTTCTTTCCTTAATAATTATCATCTTCGAAATATTGTTGTTTTTCGTCTATCAGATTTCTTACATCAGCATTTTTAAATTATTTCTTAATACTTTCTTTTAAATATTGAATTAATTTCAAATAGAACCAATGCCTTATTGATCTGCCTTGTAACAAATTGCAAAGGGAATTGTAAAAACGGCCCTAAAGTACGTGGAATTATGTTTCCCTAAAGATAAAGAATTATCCGATTTTTCGATTCGTATAATCAGTAGAGATCATTAGATTATTGTTTAGGTTGACGGACACGCATGTCTTAGTTTTTTGTTTTTTTTTACGAATTGGTCAAACTCAAACAAAAACATTGTTTTCAATATCGTTATGATGAGTCCCCCGATTGAATAGAATTAGAATTTTATCATAAACAATTGTCTTGTAAATGGAATTTTTAAAGCATTCTGAATGTATAAATAAAGAAAAAAGTGTGCAAGACAATAAGAAATACTACCTGCCAAAAAAAAAAGTGGATGTTTGTCTTATCGGCTGAAAAATGTAAGAAATCCGATCCCATATATAAAGGAACACACACACCCTGGGTTTTTTAACCTAAGTCACTCCACGGAATCACTAAAACATAAAGCATAGTCTGATGAAAAAGATGCCAAAGTTTATGAAAACAAAATTTTATCGTCAAAATGCTTATGTTTTTATGAAGAGGATAGACTAAATTTTTTTTTTAATTTTTCCATCTTTTTAGAATATTCTAAATTTTGATTTAAAAAACCTTGTTTCTCTTACAAGGGGTAGTAAATAACATAATTTTTAGCACGTTTTTTTGTATTTACACACATTAATTTGGAAAATCTTGCAAAAATAATTGTCAGATGTTAATGAAACTTTCAGAAACTATTCACAGATGATCGAAATTATTATAAATATTTTTTTTTTTTATTAAAGTCATGGCAGAAATATTTTTTTTTATATTTATTAACACCCCCATAACTAATTTTATGAAAAACTCTAGAAATTCAAGACCATCGGTTTTAGTGATTACAATAGTTAAAAGCACAAGGCTTTGAAGAATGCAAATCATGTTTTTTTTTTTTTGGCCAACGTACCTGAAAATCAGCTGTGAATTGTAACATACAAAACTCAATAAAACAAATATATTATTTAGTTTCAAATGCTTTTATTTGTTTTAATTTGTTTTTATGAATATGGACAATATTTTCTGAAAGCAAACAATTTTTTCAATGAAAATTGAATTTTTAATACAATTATTTCTTATTTCTTTAATTTTAAAAAGTTTTTAAAAATTTTAAATTGAATTTATAAAAATATTTTAACATTAGTTAAAAGCAACATCAACCTTTCAAAATGTCCGTGTGAGATTGTTATTGTCTAGCGCTTTGAAAATTGTATAATTTGGACCAATCAGATTAGCCATGGTAATTAAGAAATGTAATTTTTGTGTTTATAGTCGGACAGTAATTATCAAGTACGGAAGACCAACCAGAATACAATTTAGTTGCATTATTTGAGTTCAGCATTGTTCTCCGCTGTTAAGCCCCTTTACTTTTTTTGTAAACACGTATGGAGAAGTTAATTTGAGTTTTTCAATTTCAACTGAGAAGGGTACCTACAAGTAACAGTATCATCTTATGAAATTTAACTACTGCTAAACTTTAATTTATATGATCTTATTTTTATATTAATCTGTTATGACATTTTTCCATAAATATCAAAATTAATAATAAAATGAATGGAAATACAAATAACACAGTAAAATGTAATAAATGTACATAAAATTATAGTATTTTATGTACACTTCTGATAAAATTTCATAAGAAAGGTACCTAAATTAATTAGATACCTTTTTTTATGAAATTTAATCTCCTATTAACAGTCTTATCTTTTTAATTTCTTTATATTTTCCATAAAGCATCGTAAACGTAAAAATGAAAGCTAAGTACAAAAAAAAAAAAAAATTAGAGCGCTGAAAGTTTTCCTTAAAAGTAACGAGGTAAATAATTTGTTCACTTAAATAATTTCACTTCCTTCCATCCGTAGAAAGAATTATCCTCCGTAAAGTTATCTAAACGTCATGAATGTGCCTTTTCGTCAATCGTCAAGCGACGTGAAAGGTTATGACCTGCTTTGTTTAATTTTCAAATTAGATTTTTTTGATTGCAGAAGCTAAGTTAAGCTTGGTTCAAAATATTTTAAATAAACAGTATAATTTCTGTTTTTATTAAAATCAGTTTTGAAAAAATGATAATTGATTTTTAAAAGAATATCAAAGTCAGATTTTAATCTTTTTTATCAAATCGAAAAAAAAAACGATTGAAAATGATTGATTATCTGTCCTTTTTTTTTTTCAAAAAACCATATTTTTAACAAAAATTTCAGACGTGCTAGGAACGATTAAAAAATGTAAAAAAATACCCCAAAAATACTTTGATTTTTCCTCTTTAATAATAATATGAACATTAGACGATAAAATTTTGTTTTCATCAAGTTCGGCTTTTTTTCCATCATGCTATGCTCTTTTGTTTACATTTTCGTGGGTGAGTTGTCCCCCTTTCATTCTCACGATGTGTCTTAATCGTGTTTTCAAATTGATTTTGTTATAAAACAATTTTGTTTTTTCCCATTTTCAGAGGCCGCCGTTAGAACCATCACAAGGTAATTTTATGTAGTCATGTGAAGTTTTGTTGAAATCGGCTAAAAAAATGTAGGAAAGCAGATCCAATATATAAACGTTACAGACACACACACAATCTGCGTGCATTTTATAATAAGTAAGATGCTTAACACAAGTATTACACTAGAATTCTTCTTGTTAAGAGAGTTTTTCAAATTGTATAAGTTATAGAAGAATTTAATGTCAGTATACCAGAGTACTTTTCATGAGTTTTTTTTTTTAAAATTCTCTCATGGACCAAATAGCAATAGGATCATGTTTTTAAAAAAATATTGTCATTGATGCACAAAAATAATGCATTGACCTCATTATGTTATTAAGTTTTGTTGGATCAACTTTTAAGATGATTTTTCATGAGATTTATGTGTAAGAGATAAAAAGAAAAGAGAATAGTTAATCTTTCTCCTTTCTAGCAGCCAATATTTGATTCTCTGAATGGCTCTTTTAGGAGAAAACACCACAACTAATATTCTCTCTTGAATAGTTTCAACCAAATACTAACTGTTCAATTGAACCATGAATTCATTTTAAACACTGATGCATATATCTTGTTATACTATTGGTTATCCTTTTTTATTAACAAGAAGAAACTTTTCTTTTTTTTTTAAATTTATCACTAAGACCACTGTATTAATAAAGGTATTATTAAACCTGTTCAATGTGAACAGCCTTAACTGGTTTATTGCTGCAAGATCCAATGAACAAATTGGAGATTCATTTTTTCTATTTACTGAAAGCAAACTGGGAGATTTAATTATAAAACTAAAAATTTAATTATTCAAAATTATAAAAATCTGAAAATGAAATAAATGTTCAATTACTTCAAGATTCTCATGAAACATATCACTTAAAACATTGCTATATTAGGCAATCTTTGCATCACAAATTATCATTTCTTATATATGTATATGGGACACAGAGTTTTTGAGTAAAGAAAATAAATAAATGTATAAATTATGTTGATTACAAAGGATGTTGTTGACTTACACTTAAAATTAAAAGTATCTGAAGAAACACATCATTTAACCGAGAAAGCAAGTTTAGTTTAGTATGATAAACTACAAGATCATAACTATATTGTACCAAGAGTTGTTCAAATTAGGAACATATTCTTTTGTGCTTTTTGGTGTTACCATAACCTTCTCAGGTATACAATCCATAAGGTGAGGATTTCTTTTTGCGCAAAATCACAGCAAATACTAATTGTGATGTAGTGACATTAAATATAATAGCAGCTCTAAAATAAAATTTAGATCAGCAGCAGCTCTTGAATATAAAAACATGTGAACCCTAAAGTAACTCTTTTCCAGGTTATTCCTCTTTCGAACTGGTGTCATGAACTTTTTACAATGAAGCTAAAGGGCTGTGAACACTACACCCATAAAACACTAACAAATTAAATCACACTTATTGATATACATTTCATTGTGTATACAATTTAAGGCTAACAAAAGAAATTGTTTTAAACTTTCCTTTTGTTAATTTGTCTAATAAATGTTATCTTGCACTGAAAATCAATTGGTCTGTTATCTTATACATGTACACTTTTCACAACCTAAAGATTTCATGTACTAAAATGTTCCTGTAAGAAACCTTATGCATTTAATTATTGAAGTAGCTAATAACTAAAGTGTCTTTACTTATTCCCAGCAGATTATGCCACACAAATGATTCTATTTGG